ATGAAGGCCAGCAATGAATGAACAAACGAATAAACAAGACAAACAAATACATACATACACATTTCTGAGCAATCCTTTCACATTTTCTGTTAGTACAAACTCAGATGAATATAAATTTTGAAAACGATAGTGGTCAGCTTTTAAGCAATGAAAAAATCAGTAGTCTAGGCATCCATTAAGACTGAAGTTAAAGGACAAGGACTTCGCCAGCATACTTGCTCATCGCTGAATTTGTTAGCTTTATCTTTGGCAGTGACAGTAGGTTCATAAAGCACATGAGAGTACTGAGATACTGTCCTTATCATTTCTCTTAAGGGCCACCTGACTCTTCATAATTTGCATGCTGAATGGTATTTGTAGCATTTTAGGAAAAGTCTCTTCAAGAATGAAGAAGGATACTTTCCTGTTCCTATTTCAAAGGACTAGTATATTTTCAGAGGCAGAAACATACACCAAGACAAAAATGATAGAAATCACCCTGGCCTCAATTTTGCCAAATACACATTACTCACCCTATTTATATGTAAATCACATAACAACCATGACATATACAATCTAAGCATCACATCAGTGCACAATATTCCGAACTATGCAAGCTTCAGCAGTGTTCACTATTCAGAGTTCTGTGACCCAGAGCAAATGGAAAGCAGCCAGAAGACGCAATCTTTCCTGCAATGAGAGCCTGCATTTCAATGACGGAAGACTAATGAGGGCTTAGGTGGATATGATTATTTACTGAGCAGGTAACTTAGTTTGGGATCTTATCACCAAAGTGCCTCCCCTTCCCCTTGATGAATTATCACTTGTGTTGTTAGAGGTACAGAAAGTCCCCTAAACAATTGTTTTAAAGGTAGGCAATGAAGACAATAATTCAGGGGGGGAAAAAAGGAGCTCTGCACATAAAAACTAATGAAATGTTACTAAAAATATGTGATTATAGAGTAAGAAAAATGTTAAAAAAATTCTCCATTTCACTACACCCTCACTTTCATCACACTCTCACACTGTTGTCAACAATCTCTACATTAAAAAATGAAATCTATTTTCAAAATTAAATTTCAAAAGTTTCAACATTTTCATATGATCTACAGACTGGAGGAACAGGCTAACAAAACAATAAAAAACAAAACACAAAAGATTTTCAAAAAACAATCTTCTTATTAACAATTTAACTGTCTTTGTTAAGTATCTTTCATTTGCCCATTCTCTGTGATAAGAAGATAGTTGTAGAAAAGGGAATTTTCTCCAAGTTCAGATATACTTTCAATCCCTTCATTTCTCTTTGTTTATTCTAGGATTTTCAGTAGGGACAGAACCATTCCCTAGAGGGTGTTTGGAACAATATGTAGAATCGTTTTTCAGAAACACATGCAAGCATTTCATTGTCACAATGATTAGGGGGCTACTGCCAGCAGTCAGTGTGGGGGTTGGGAGGCAGGGATGCTCAGAATGTGCCCTGTACTGAGCATTCTCATCCCACACAAAACCGTCCCCCATCCCACAGGACTTCTGAATGTCTCATGAGGCTAGCAACACTAGATATAAAAAAATCAATGTTACTTTAATAGTAATGCTGGTATTGAGGAGTTTTTACAAGAAGTTACACAAAAATACCCCAGTAATTATAGGAGGGGATCATAACAGTGAAGCATAAATACAATAAAGACATTCTATCAAAATTACTGGATTATTGGAGAATTAACTCACCTTGTGTGACAGCACATTTAACAAACACCAATGTATATTCCACCCAGATTTAACAAACATTTTGCCACAATTGCTTCAAAAAAACTAAAATCAAAATGATGTATTATCAACAGAATGGAAGGCTCCTTTGTAGCACTCAATTCAAATTCTGTCTTTTTAAAATTTATGTTGCACTTCCTATAATTTCTGTAAGAATTCCTTTCTAGAAAGGAATGATAAACATGACATTCCACACTGACATCTTCTAGTCAATCTAGAATTTATTTTTATGTATGGTGTGGGATTGAGCTTGGAGTCCCATCTCCTCTCCATAGAGTTACCTAATTGTATCAGGGCTATTTATTCAATAATCCTTTCTTTTCTAATTGATTTATAGAGCAGTCTCTGTCACATACCAAATTCCACATATGAAGGTGTCTGTTTTGTGTTTTTGTTTTATTGGTTTATATTAATATTGCTGTATTAATTTTCTTTTGGTTAATATTTACCTGACATATGTTTATCTCCTTTTTGGCCAATATCTTTACATTTTTATGTTTACCTTTTATATACAGCATATAGATACAGTTTTAAAAGTATCTGAAAATTTCCTTTATAAGGCAATCTAACTAGCTTATGTTCTTGTTCTATGTTCTTTCTGTTTTTACAGGATTGGCTAACTTTTTCCTTTGTTCCACATACACTCCTTCTATTGGTTTAAAAGTTATAAATTCTCTTTCGATTCTCTTAGTGATTACCATGAAAATTTTAATATGCATTCTTGTACTTCTGCATTTCTTCAGAGCAGAGACACTGACTGCCCTTTCTTCTGGATTATCTTTTCAAATACGATTGTATAAAAACAGCTTTGGAAAACAGAATCTCTCTATGCAACAAAGACAGGTTTCCTTACAGCCTTGAAAGAAAAAGATCATGTTTTTCTCTCTCCAGGGCAAAGGGAAGGGGTGCTTACTGCAAATTTTTAAAACACTCAAATTCCCTAAGCTCAGGGCTTCTCTCCCATAATGTAATCCATTGCATATGCAGGTACCACCTGAACTCCTACTTTGTCTCCATAGGACTTGGGGGCAAGGGGAACCAACACAAACATGCTCACGGCCATGCTGCTTGCTGTGCTGTGATTAATCAAGTCCTCTGTCTCAGACCCAGGAGCCTTGTGTTTTCTGCCAGTGTCCACGAAACAGTAACAGGCTCATTTTGTAGCTTTTAAGGAGGGTAAAATCAAGTCCCAGATCTGAAAGGATCCCTGAATTGATGTCTGATTAAAATGAGCGTATTAACTTTACCCACAAACAATGAAAAAAAACATTAGAACACTAATGTGGGTCGCTGAGGTCCCATCTACTCTTACCTTTTATGTCACTGTTATCTAGAACTTTATTTCCATCTTGCTATTAGCTTTTCCCAAATCAATTTTACATATTGTTTTATCATTGTTTAATTAGATTTACAGACTTTTGAGGATTAGGTGAGTGGTTTGTTTAAAGAGGGTGGAACAGTGCTTGGCACACAGTAAACACTTGATATGTGCTCACATTATTGTGTTTTAAAGATGTTTTTTATTCACCACTGCTTATTCCACCATTCAGAATTCCATTTTTATGAATAACTAAAGCAGAGATAAATTATTTTTCCTTTTGTGATTCCTTTCTTAATACCATCTATATTCATGAATATGTCTAAGGATTTAATAGACTGTCGTTATAATTTTATACATATTTTTCTACATAAATGTTTTCTGTCAATCTATAACATTGACTGAACCAATGTACTTTTCTGTTCAGCACTGAACACAACTAGGTACTTTCAAGAAAAAATTTCAAAAGTAATTATCCATTCTTGTAGTCTCTATCTTAGTTATTAATATTTTTTTCCTCAAAATCTAACACCATTACCAACTCGGCAGTTGGTATCTCTCTAATTTCTTCAAGTATAACCATAAGATTTAATATAATATTGTCTTGTATTATACCTCACATTTATAATGTAAAACATGAAAGTTAGGGCTATATAAAAATGAATACTTTATAAGAAAATATGTATACTGGTTAAATTTTTTACAAAGTTTTTCATCTGTGTCCATAATTATAATGGGGCTTGTCCTTATTTTACACGTTTGTTTTGTAATCTGTGTACATCATATTCTTTTGGAGCCCTCACTGAATAAACCATGTATTCAAATAAAAGGTATTTCTCCATAACCCTAGGAGCAAATGACAGTGAATATGTTAAGGGTGGTTGCTTTAGGCCTGATGATCACATCACAGCGAGTTACAGCAATGAGTAATGAACTAGGAGTGAGTACACCTATGTTTTAATCTCAGTTCTCCCAATGGAAGATGGACCAGACTGGCTGCAGAGGGTTGTCAAATGATGTAAATTAAATTTTGAGTTTTGTGACTAATTTTGTTATCTTCACAAACACTAAATTTCTTATCTATTAAACACTGAAATTATCTGCTTCATACACCATATAGATTAGTTTTGAAAATTAAATGAAATAACATTTATGAAAGTATTTTTAACTTCAAAGCACTCTACAAGTATTTGTACTGTGTTACTGTTAACAATTTAAACGTATTAATGGAATATTAATATAAACACTTTTCACCCTTAATCTTGACCATGGATATGCCGGTCTCTGGATATAAGCCTTAAGAGGAAAGGCATGATGAGGAAACAAAGAAGGTTAAGAGGGAGTAAGGAGATCTCCATCTCAAAAAGCATTTTTGAGGTTTATAAAAACACATGATACTCTATTCCAGCTTCCCCTGAAAAGAGGCTTGATTCCACAGATGAGTAACAGGCTAAGCCATACCCTGCTAACCTTTTCAAGTCAACTGACTTTTAGCTTAATATGGGCTACGGAGATGCCTATAAAGTAAGGCAAAATCTCGTAAAGCTCCCCAGGTAACATACCAAGCAAGCAAAACACAGAAGAAGCTACTTAAGAATTCATGAAGTTCAAATTTCATAACTTCTTAAAAAATAGGCCCAAGGATCATAAAATCCAAGTGAAAACCCACAGCACAGTTTCATGTAACAGTAACATTGATCGGTTTGTCAAAATAATTTGATAGTATCAAGTATGTTAAAAAAAATAAGACACTCTCCCTTTACTTAAGACCATGGAAGGTAGTCACACAGGCGTTATAACAGAAGGCTGTAATTAGCAGCAGGAACTTGTTCTGATATGTACTTCTTATGACAACAAAACTAAAAACAGCACTCTTTGTGCTGCCAATTTCTGCTTTATTTTTTATTTCATGTTAATTAATGCACCAAGTACTTACATCTGGAATAAATCCAATCTCATTGAGATGATTGCTCAGCTCCGGGTCATGGAATGCAATCATCTGAGAGAACACAGTCAGATACTCTGAAATGACAATGACGTTTATGACAATCATTTTTACACAGTGCCTCAAATACAGACATTAAATTCACAGAGATGAGTTTTATGTATATTTTGAGTGAAATTTAATTTTTCCATGAAGAAAACCTGCTTTAATAGGTTATGTTCTGCTTTGTTACCATTTGAATCACTTACTGCTAATTATCAAACAAATATACCAACAGACTATGATGCAACTTATTTTCTCTACCTTTGGAGTTATCAGTTCATTTCCTAAATCAAAATTATATACATGATGAATGAATATTTTCCTATTAAGTTCTACAAATACATTTTCTCTAGTGATATTAAATCTTGCATTTATTTTATGTTCAGAAAGTGTAACAGAAGGAACAACACTTTTTAGCAGTCATAAATAAAATAATTATGCCTCAAATTTACTTATATATACATATATAGGCATTTGTACCAGTTCTAATTTATTTTCATCTAAGACTCTGCATTTGGCATAGTAGAAATAAGAATTAGCATCATGTTACTTAGAAAATAGGCATACAGTAGGTAATTAAATATTGTAGATACTAATTCTATTCTAATTAATAGGGTTCAGTTGCATATGGGGAATATTTTCTTATTTTTTCCGTTCTTTCAACAATTTACTTTTATTGCCAATTTACTCACTATATACTTACGCTTGTAACAAGCTACTCAAGGACAGGCAAGTAACCACCATTTTTTTACATATTAAAAAATGAAAACGTATTTCAGTAACCTCAACTTTTTATCTTTTTTGAGACTGAAATGACAATAGCCCAAAGAAAGTTTTCCCTTAGTTAATAATTTTAACTCCTTCCTTCAATAAAGTTATAGATCTATTTTTTCAAAGCAATTATTTGCTGAAAATAACTTCCAAATATACTGTATGACTTTTTTAGTTTTTAAAGTTCTTTAGTTTTAATATATCAAGAAATAGTATAAAATCCTTGACAATCTGTTGGTACAAGAAGGCTTCTCTTATTTTCCTCATTTAAACTTTGCTTCTAATGACCACAATGTATTTTATAATTATTTACCTATAAGCAATGTCACATATTTTACAAAGAGGAACATCAAGTTAAAAAAAAAATGAAGAGGTACTGTATCCAATAGTGCAACAAAATCCTATTAATCCACTGTCCCACCTTTTCCTCTAAGAACAAAAAAAGGTACAATTTATATCAGCTTCAAGAGTTACAGATTAAAGTGCAGACCCAGGACAAACCCCAAGGCCCCAGGAAACTTTGGGGTTTAATTTTTCTTTACTTTTTTTTTCCTTCCAATTAGTGATGGTATGTTTGTGGTCATAATTTACCTAGAAGTCAGAAGTATGCAACGTCAACAATCATAAGAATTCAACTGTGTGTTTATGAAAGCATTTACTTATTAATTTATAAAAACATGCTTGATTTCAAACCAGAAAATCATGGCTCAGGCCATTTTCCACATCTCTAATTAGCTGCAGGAACTTGTTCAGATATGGATTTCAGCTCCAGTTTACTAAATATCATTCATATTTGAGCCTGATAAAAGGTAATTAATTACATGGCCAATTAAGGATCTACTGAAGAAATAATCCATCACAAAAACATTTTCTTTGTGTTTTGTTGAAAATTGATGGCTGGATTTAAATATGTGTTATAAATAATATACACAAATATGTGTATACATTTATTTTATATATTATTTAACATGTAAATATAAGTTAAAAGACTGGCATAAGTTTTGGTTGCTCAGGATAGGCTTTTAGAATGACTAACAGTATGGCTTGTTATATTCAGAAAAAATTTTTACTTTACAGGGGGATATGATAGAACTGAGGAAATCAGCACTATGTCATATTTCATTGTCACTTCAATAATGCATTTAAAAGTTCCCTAAAGTAAAAAAAAAGAAATGCATATGTCCTTTGATTTGTAAACCAACCTAATAGAATGTAAGCTACAGAATTAAATAGTCAGAATAAAACAAAGGATTCTAGAGATTTACACTGGCTCTTTTAAAATGTTCACAGAACACTCTAATTGTGATTTATAATAAAGATATGCATAGGGAGTATTTGAGATCTTACTCCCTGGCATATGTTGTCAGTTTCGCTCAAATGAACTCATAAAAACAACTAACTGACTAAATAAAAAATATATTATTTAGAGGCATAAAATAACCCCCAAAATAATATTTTCTAACTTATAGGTGACTTGTATAAGATTAAATGCTATTTTTTTTTCTTTTTAAATTAAGGTATTTATGAAATGCCCCCCTTAAACTTCCAGTGAAGTTTAATGCTGCACTGCTGTGCAAAAGCATGTCTAACGTAAATTTTGTTTCAATGACACTTTATATTTTTCATTTTTTGCAATGAAATATAAACTGAAAATACATTTTATTTTTTCCTTCTAGTCCATCAGCATTAAAACGCCAGAGGGCCCCGGTTCGGATCCCACATATGAGGGCCAGTGTTACTGCCCTCCACAGCTAAGATGCTGAACAGCAGCTCGACCTGGAGCTGGGCTGCCATGGGTTGCCGGCAATGGGGTATGCTGCAGCCCCTGTGGCAGTGGGTTGCCATGGGCTACCGTGTGTAGCCAGCAGCCAGCATGAGCGGCCTTCCAGAAGCTGGCGACTGATGTACCTCACCCGGGAAGAGCGCAATGATGGTGCCAACTTG